CGCCACCTGCCCGCGCCACCTGCCCGCGCCACCTGGGGGTCAGCCCCCAAAAACCCCGACACTGCGCCGCTCTGCGCCGCTCAGCACGCGCCACAGATGATAAGGCAGGTCGCGTGGTCTGTAGCTTCCTTATCAAGAAGCAGAGCCCGACAGGACTTTGCATCGATCTATTCCTTTTCCTTCTTCCTTTTAAACTGGAGGCGATTTCGCAATCGAGGCCGCTGTCTTCACAGCCCCATCGACTGCCCCTTAAACTAAACCCTCCTGGTGCCCTTCCGACCTCGCGCACCTTGCGACGCACGCTTTCACTGGTCGAAACGCCTCATACAGCTTCCGATTTCAAACAACTCTTCTTACCGCCTGCATCGCGCCTACGCAGCACCACAGCTTTTTCCCGTTCTTCTGGGGAAATATATATTATGTAAGATACCTAACGCCGGATGTCTATCAACGACGCGAAAGACTGACGGGGGTCCAGGGACTCCCACCAACATTTTCTCAACTTGGGATTATGAACAAGGCTTCATGTGGCACCTCGGGGAAGCTTGGACGCAGGGGTAAGCTACTTCATCCTTCACGCCTCCTGACTGCTCACAGTGCCCAATACGCGACTTTCACATCGGGTATCTCTGAGCAGCCCCATGAGGACCTCGGAAGACGATCTCAGATTCCGTAAGTTGCCCTACCTTCCTCAACCCCCGAAGCATGGGCATTCATAATGGTCCCCCAACTATCCGCAAACCATCCATCTGATTTGCCACGCTGAATCCAACCAGATCCGAGGGCAGATCGCGTCGCCCGAACACGTCGGGGTAGAAGATGAACCATTGATTTCGCCGCCCGGGACTCCGTTAGAAGCGTACATCGAGTTTCCGCCGTCGACTCCTACGCCGACGGGCCTTGCAGCAACGCAAGAAACTTCAGGCGACATAACCGAGCCAGCGATCGGCACGCAGGAGTTCGGCAGGAACTCTAAATCGCTCCGTACGAGCGTATCTCTGGCCGCCAATCAAGCTCCGCCAAGCCGGCTGACGGTGAACGACCCGATCGCGTCAAGGGACGCTCCCCTCGTCACGTCTCCGGGAAAAGGGTTCAAGATCTTATCGTCAGCCTTGTCGGCGATGCCGGTGGCCACGGGGCCCAACAATAAAGAGAACGAGACGCCGGGCTTTGACGAACATGCCACGGGCAGCGATGATGTCTGTGGAGATTCGAGGACCGGCATCGCGAACAATGATACAGCCTCAAACCCGGACGTGCTGTCACCAGACCGTCATTCACTTGGCGCGGTACAAGCGGACCAGCTCACTGGGCCGGGCCTAGGTGGGACCAGTGGCGGCGGTGGCGGCGGCGGCAGTGGCGGCAGCGCCTCCATGGCCAGCTTCTTCCCTGACGGCGCTGGTTACCGCTGTGACAATTGCAACCAGTTCATTGAGTGCTTGTGGAACATGAAACAGCACCTCCAAACGCACGACTCGAATCGCCCGCGCTCTCGGTGCAGTCTCTGCGACAAGGACTTCACACGCCGAGCGGACCTTAAGCGCCACCAGCGCCCCAACGACCGTCTACATCTGCGATGCGTGCCGAAAAAGGTTTAAGCGTAAGGACGACCTGAAACGGCACAAGGGTGTCTGCCGCGTGCCGCACAGACCCCAGGCCCCTTCAGGAGGCCCAAACACAGCCCTCTAAACTGCATTATTTTTTTTTGTCCACCTTTTAGGGTGTTGTTAGTCCCTTTTTTGAAGCAGCTAACTATAACACACATCGCGAACCCTGCTGTCTCCCCACTTCCTCCTTCAGTCTATTCAAGTCCTTTTGACTTGTGACATTAACGTCTGCAGCGCGAATCTCATTTCTTCCAGCACATCAATTCCTCCTCCAATTCCTTAAGCACGTACGCGTCGATTCATTGTCCCCTTATGGAACTGCCGGCCTCGCACTATCTGAAGCTTTTCTTAAGAAATAACAACGCACCAACACCAGCTCGACAAAGTTCTCCTCGTTTACGATGACGACTGTGGTCATCTCCCCGACGTCCAACAGGACCATGTTCATGTGCTGGTCGTGCGCCTTCCACCCCTTCCCCGCACCGCCCCGAGTTGACGCGTCAGCATCGAGACGACTAATGAAGGCTAGCCGACGTGGACGACAGCATCCGAGAAATGACGGAAAAGGTAGGGTCGTCGAGTCGATGGCAAGAGGAGGGGGGGGGGGGTAAAACTTGGACAGAACAAAAATACCATCCACCACTTCTCAATGGGAAAGTCTCTCACATATCGGGAATACGAAGAATGGGGGAGGTGTTGGTAGGGGAAAGGGAAGACGACGGCGAATTACCAGAAACTATGAGTGATGGGAGGATACGAGGGTGCACTTGTCCTTACACGTGTTCAGGGGAGGAGGGAGATTAAGGAAGGAAAAGAGAGAAAAGTAAGGAGAGAAGAGTAAGGAGGCTAAGAAGATCATGACGCAATTATTATTTTATATTTATATTTTTGCAGCCCTCACTGACGTCACAAGCAACAGTGGTTTAGTGGTATAATTACCGCCTGCCACGCGGTAGACCCGGGTCCGATTCCCGGCTGTTGCACTTGCCTTTTTCCTTGTTTTTTGCCCTGTTCACGCCTTCTCCTTTCTATTATCTCCTTGTTTGCGTGCCAGTTCGCAGAGCGTTTAAGGTTGGAGTGTCGAACGGCGACGCTGATATCGACTTTTGCAATTTTCTATCTTCATTGGTCGTCGTTTTGAAGGTGGCGGAATTGGTGGAGAGGTGGGGTGGGGTTGGACAGGGGGAAGGGTACTTTTTAAAGGATGTGGGACGGGAGGGAGTTGGCGGAGGATCTTCTTCTTGCGGCTGCTTCGGGAGCTCTGCAACTGCCATCTCTTGCTTTCTGGGAGATACGATGTCTTCAGATGGTCAAACTCGTGATGCTGAGGCACCTGGCCAGAGAGAGCACGGCTGTTGGAGGTGCGTGTGCGAGAATGAGGCGCAGTACGGATGCGTGCGTGCAGAGAACGGACGGTCCGCCAAACAGCCAGCGCAGTGAGGACGGATGCGTTGAGCTCGAAGGCGGCCGAGGGAAGAGGTGAGGCACCCGTTCACACGGTTACCAAGGACTTTACGCATGACAACAACTCACAACATTAAAGATCCAAACTTTTCGAAAGAAACAAAAACTTCAAGTTCTTAGTTCTCAAGTCGAGACAACGATGTCCTTTGCCCCATCAATCAAAAAACAACGGCCAACCAAACCCAGTGGCCGATCACGCTCATCCTCGGGCCATGTCCGCGAGGTCCCCCGTACCCCGCTCCTCCATCTCCTTCAGCCTTGCCGCCGCGGCGGCCTTCTTCGCCGCCCAAAACTCCTCGTCCCACTCTTCCCACCGTCGCAAGGCATCCAACGCATGCCCCGCAGTAGGTGTCTCGGCGACGCTGCCGCCCTCACCCTTGGCCGCGCCTCCAGGTTTCTTCTCGTCGTCGCCAGACGAGTGGCCGGCGCGTGCGAGGGCGGCCGTCTCCCCCTCGACGGGGCGGGTCTGGCCCCAGGAAAAGTCGTCAAAGTGCCAGAAGGCGTAGGCCGGGAGCACCAGGTTCCAAATTGGCAGGGCGAGCAGGTAGACCAGCATCCAGTAGACGTAGACGACGCGGCGCGTGGTGAGCAGAATTAGGACGGCGGGGAGGCCCAGGATGGCGGCGAGCATGAGCAGCGGGATGACCGGGACGGCGGGGCCGACAATTGCCGAGACGATGAGGACGCTTGTGTGAAGTGAGCGGATTATTAACTCAAGCATAGAAAAGACGAGGACTACTCACAAGGTGAACACGATGGCGGCCGGCAGCGTGACGGTGCCGACGATCTCGAGCAAGATGACAAACTGCATGGAGCAGCAGAAGGCGCCGCACAGCTGCCGCAGCAGGACCAGCTCCAGCAGGTTGTGAACGGTCGAGTTGATCCAGCGACGGCGTTGCGATAGCAGCACGCGGAACTCGGCCGGCACGGTGGTCTTGCAGAAGGCGGACGGCACAAACACCAGGCGGCGACGTGGGAACTCTCGCAGCATGACGGTGGTCAGGAACCGGTCCTCGCCCAGGAGCAGCAGGTTCTTCTGGTGCAGCGTGCGCACGTCGGCCCGTGAGTAGGTCGTGACCACGTCCGGGTTCGTCAGCAGTGGGACCCACTCATCATCATCGTCGTCGGGCGGCCCGCCCGCCTCAGCTGCACCATGCGCGACTGCAGCGGTCGTCGAGGACGAGGCGAGCCGCCGGCCCTTGAGCCGGTACATGCAGAAGCAGCCGGGTAGGCATGTGACGACGCCAAAAACGGACTCGAACGCCTTGGTCAGGTGGTGCGACAGGTAGTACTCGAAGACCTGGATGCGCGAGACCCATGACTCGGTCTTGTTTGCGATGCGAGTCTCGCCGCACAGGCCCATGATGCGTGCGTCGGCTGCCATGGCCGCAACCATGCGCGCCAGGGACTCGCGGTCGACGCGCGTGTCGGCGTCAACCATCAGCAGCAGCTCGTAGCGGCCGGCACTGGCGGCGCCGCCATCGCTGCCGCCGCTGACAACGTCGCGACAACCGCCGTCACTGACGCTGTCACTGGTACCTGCAATGGCCACGGCGCGCGCGAGCTCATAATCAAGTCGCGTGCCGACGCGGCTCTGCTGCACGCGCCCAAAGAAGCCCATCACAAGCACCTGCGAGTCCCGTTTGCCGCGGTTACCCGGCTTTGCACCTGGTGTCGTCGCGGCAGCTGCTGCCTCGGCCTCGGTGCCGCACTTGACGACGACGACGGTGCGCAACGGCGGGAGGCGCGGATCGGCGTTGTCGTCGTTGTCGGCACCTCCGCCGCCGCCACCGCGGTATGTGCCGACGTAGACGCGGGCGCGGTTCTGGCGCATGGGACCTGAGCCGACGGCGGCGTAGCCGACGGGCTCAGGGTTGGTGGGCCAGCGCGGGTCTGGGTGCAGCATTGCGAGTACGGTGTCCGGTGTGTTGCGCGGGTTGCCGGCGCCGGTGACGATACCGTCGCAGACGACCAGCAGCAACTTGTGGCGCGAGCTGTAGGCTGTGGAGCGCAGTGAGTCGAAGGTGGTTCGCAGGCTAGCCTCGCCTTCTGAGTAGCAGGTGACCAGGATGGCCGTGTGCAGCAGCTGCGACGCCGGGTCGAACGAGCTGGTCCTGCCCAGCTGAGGTGGAACCGGAGTGCTGGTGACGGCTAGGCTGCGCGCATTGTCCTCGATGGCCGCGGTCGCGTGCCGCGGCATCGGGGGGGTACCGGGAGGCGACGACTCGGGCGTGTTGTTGGTCGACGTGCGGAGCTGCTGCTGGATGGCGCGCCGCAGCGTGCCGCGCGTGGAGCCGCCGGCCAAGATCTCGGCGGCAGCAAGTGCGGCAGCAGACGGAGTGGTAGCTCCCTCTGGTGGCGGCGGTCCCGCGGGTGGAGGTCCCGCGGGAAAAGTGACATCCGTATTTGACTTCTTGCGAGTCTGAGAGGGGCGGTGTCCGAGCCTTTTGGAAATAACCCAGGTGAAGAGCAATGCAAGCACGAAACGGACCCCAACAATGGCCAGGATGATCACCAAGGAGGCGTAGAGCACAATATCGGCCGCAATGCAGCCGGGTGTAGCCCGGGCGAGCACACCGAAGGCGTACATGTCGATGAGGCACTGTCTAGCATCGATGCTTAGCGAGGCGGCCGCACGCGAGGCGTCAACGGCAAGATGGTCCGTGATGACTGAGTCCGCGGTCTCACCAAGGAATGCGGCGCCGCCAGCGTTGCGCCAGGTGAGGTATGATGAGACGTTGAGCACGGTGTCGCCAACGACGGTCAGGTCAGCGGCGGCCGACACCTCGGTCCAATCGAACGTGACCTGAGCGACGTAGAGCAGGTCAAGGGCAGTGGCGATGCCGGCGAGCGAGTGGCAATGCGCTGCGGCCGCTGCGCCGTCGACGGCGCAGGTCAGGTTAACAGATGCGGTTGCGGCGCGGCCGCAGGCGGCCGAAAAGCTCGGGAACCCCGGCGTAATGTCGCGCGCGGCGGAGGCGGCGGCGGCGACGGTGGTAGCCGAGTAGGCGCCGTCGACAAAGCCGGCCAGCTCAGCATGGACAGCAAGCGCCGGCGCAACGTCGTAGATACGGCCGCGCAGAGTGACCCAGTGGTCGCCTGCCGTGACGGAGCCATCAAGCAATGCCGCGCGGGCTACCGAGGCAGCGCTCGAGGGGCACAGGGTGCGGGTCATGCCGAAGGTCAGGAAGGCGAGAGCGCCGCACAGGACTGCGCATACGGCGCAGAGGGCGACTTTCTCGCGCCAGGCACGGCGAACGTCGCGGCGCGGCATACCACAGCAGCGAGCCAAGAGGACGGGCGGCAGGCAGCAGGTGATGGCATGCACGAAGAGCGTCCATGCGCCTGGCAGTCGATATCGGCCACACTGACGTACGCTGTATTGTCGACTCTGCCGCCGACCAGGAGTATTTGGGCCCCATGCTTGCTCCCCGGCTGCCGATTCTGTGGCAGTTTTCCCGCTCCGAACACTTCCTGCTTCCACCTCGCCGCCATCAATATTGTAGTCGACCTCGGGCGGCGGAAGTAGAGAAAGCGCCCCGGTGCCATCTTCAGGTGGTGGGGCACGCTCGGGTCGCGTGAGGTAGCCTGTTCGGCGGGAACCAATGGTGGCCGTCGGAGAGGATGTTTTAGGAGTGATACCGGCCTGCGACCGCCTGCGGGAATGGTGCCGGCGGAATGTGCTGAAAGGGCTCGACGCTGGAGCCGTTGTAGCCGGCGTTGGAGCATAGGTTGGATCCATGATATGTCTCTCGCAGCTTTCCTTGACGGGCGAAGAGTCTGGCCACAAGAATCCAACGGCGCTTCTAGAAGGCCGGGGTCCGGCAGAATAATTTAACATGTTCGTCTCCCTGACAAAGGAGGCAGTTAAGACTTCGAGACCACAGTACTGCATTATACAGTCGAACCGGAAGCCTCCCAAAGGCACCCTGACTGACAGACCGAACGTAGCAGCGTGCGTTTGGGAGTGAGGAGTGGTTGGGGTAGAGCCTCGGGGGAATTGTCGGTTTTGTAGCAAGTCAGGCGACCTCGCCAACGTGCCAAAACGCAGGTCTCAAAATCGCACAAAGCATCACCCACCCCAGCCACCCCTCCTTGCCTGCCTTCTACCCTGTGTCGGGCTCTTTCCAGCTGCCCTACCCCTGCGATCCCGCTCTTTTCGACCGCGATCGCAGTCCTCCACCATCTGCACGACTCGCTGAGTATCGAGGTACTGACATAACTGGTCTCTTGTTTCTTTCTGGCTCTACTCTCTCGGTGGTTCAACTGGTTCAACCCCAAAGTTCTCATCCTAATCATTTCCGAATTCTCCCAAGGGCCTCCTCCCCCTTCACCATCCATCATCCCTTGGGACGTGCTCCCGACCTTTAAAACTACCCATCCGATCCGTCTCGATATCGCTGCCCTTGCTTTGTCGCTTAGGACGGCGACGTCATCTGGGAACCACACTGAATCCAGGCGCCCGTCAACTCCGACGACTGTTGACCCGACTCTGGCAATGCTACCCGACCCGCCCCCG